CAGGAAGATACTCAGTGTGCAGAAACTCCACTGCTGCCTCAAACAAGCAGGCAGGTGCTTTCACTGGGGCACTCACACTAGATCAAAGTCTGCAAAAGCTTTGCAACTGTGAAGGCTGTTGTTCTATTTCAGCTATTTATATAATACATTAAGCATGGCTGAGCCCTAGGCTCATTAAAGCATCCGCCTGTCACTAAAAGGCCACTTCAGACATGCTTGCATTTCTTTCCTTGCTACTTTGTACACAACTGCTCAGTATACCAAGCACTATGAATTCAAACACTTAAGCCCTGCATGGGCAGCTACAATATCTTAGAACTGACCTTTACTGTAGGAACTAAGGAATTAAAAATGCTCTGTGGCCTTTAACATTAACAGTTCCTTTTGTTTCAGGTACTGAGCAACCTTTTAGTTCAGTTCTTTCCTGGAGAAGACTATCTGCTCAAAGCCCACTGTTCTTCTCCTAGAGATTACAACCTTATCTCTCCTATCTTCCCTGAGCACCAAGGCCTTTGTGTGCATGTCCAAGTCAGCAAGGTGGTCCAAACTAAGATTTCACTCCAGCTAAAACTGAACACACTAATTCAGGATAATATGAAGAATCTCTTGTCAGCTCTATAGCATCATTGGTACAAGATGCCTTGTTATATACAAGCTATTTCACCATATCATTACAGGACAAGGAAAAATGGAAGCTTGTATGCTCTCAACTGATATGAAGCAGGCCATGTAAACACAAGATTGAGCATATAAAATTGTCACATAGGGGTGCCTAGTACTGCCAGATTTCAGACTACCTAAGACAAAAGACAGACCTGTGTATATAAACATCTTACAGCACTTAAGGTATTTTAACATTAAAATACCTTATCTAAATCAGCCTCCTGTCATAAAAAAGTAAGTAAAATCTAACTTGCAAGATTCCCTGCTGTTAAAAGCATTTGTTTGAAGAGCTCCCAGGATAAAGATTTGAGGAGTTCAGACATGAGTTTAATAAACTTGTCAATTCAAACATTCTTGCTTAGATCATTACTGTACAGTGTTTACCAGGTCCAAGAAGCCACTCAGAATGCAAGCTTAAAGTCACACTCTACTGTTTAATCTTATGAGAACAGCAGTTCAACTACTTCATTTTTGCTATCACACTGAACTTCGTGGATGGATATAGAAGTTCACAGGCAGTGTGTAGGTTTAGTATCTCAGTTCCCCTACCCCCTTCCTGCGCTAGCTGTTCCTATCTAGCCTTAGAAACAGCACATTAGATATAAGCAATATTCTTATGCAAAACTAATTTCTCTGCCTACCAAGCCACTTGGTAGCTACAGGAACATGCAAAAAAGCTCACTGCTACCAACAAATACACACAGCCTGGATAAAGACAGTTAACTCAGGTACAAAGGGAATACAGTGTCATACCTTTGTATCATGCAGTAGTTTCATTGCTCCTATATCTTGTGCATATTCTTCCATGTCAAAGTCAATCTTATCATAAAGTGCCATCTCCTCATCACTAAGAGATGCTACTGCTTCATTAACACCTGGGATCAGAATTTTCCCTTTCTTGTCTACAAGGGAACCTGCAAAACAAAGCACTTAAGATCAGCAGCTAACCACATGAACTACCATGCCAGTATTTGCAACACTTCCCACATTAAGTGGGAGTTTTAGTTTTGTCTTTTGACAATTTCCTATATACAAAAAGGTATTACACTACAACAGCCTTTCCTACTAGGCATGGAAGGGTCTTATAGAATCTTGCAGGTTAGCATTAATCATGGAGTTACTTGTTCCTGCAGCTATCCAGTCTGCCCTCTGTACCTTTAAACCTATTACTATCTGTTTTATCTGACTTTGACAACAGGGTCTCCCAAGTTCAATACAGTATTGTGTCAGTCTGGAGCAAACAGTGGCTTTGGTTAGAAATTATATTTTTAGGGGAAGCTAAAAATATACAACTTCTTGGCAAGAAGTTTCTTCATCTTTGAAGCATCTTCCTATTTTACACATAGCTGGGAAGCACCATTTCATCAGTTATGACTTTGCTTGTACAAGCTGCCATTAAGAGCCCCTCACTGGAAACAAACTCTTCAGTGGGTCTTAAAATGCATTTCAGCTGCATTCAGTGAAACCTGCTTTCTTACCCATCAGAGCAATGAGATCTGTCATTGCCTCATGCACTGAGCCACCATAAACTCCTGAGTGAAGGTCTTTGTCACTACATTCCACCTGGGTTTAAATGAATTCAGAGATTCAGGTTAGTTTTAGCATGAAGACAGACAACTGAACATAACACCTGCTATCCTATCTTTTTGCTGCATAAGTTTTGAGAACATCTGTTTTGGAACCAAAACATTCAGTTTGAGTATACTAGAGCCTAAGTGCTTTTGATTGCTCTGGAGAATACAACCCCAACTGTCCTAGTCTTGGAGACTTAGTCACACATCCTTCTCCATTCAGGGAAGGATCTGTATGAAGGTATCTACTTTGTAGAACAGTTCTCCAGTAAGACTACCAGCTTGTTTTGCTATTCCTTCTCCATAGCTGTCATGCAGGAGAAAGGAAGATCTTTAGACAATTACATTAGAAATTGTTTTGCTTCAATGGTCTAGTTCAGCTTCTCTAAATGAAAGCTACTGTCATGGAAGTTGACCACTCACCTACACTACTAAAAAAATACAACTCGGTAGTACTGGTGTGACCATGTATTTTAGAACTTGCCTCTATGAAGTAGTAGCAGATACCCCTCAAACCATAGGTGATACAAGGCTTGTTCTTGCCTAACCAGTAGTTGTCAGAAATGCAAATGTAATCCACGTCTTTGAAGAACGCATCTCGTTCAGCAAAAATCAACTCATCAAGGCCTGCAGACCCAGATTCTTCCATGCCTTCTAGACAAAACTTAATGTTTACTGGAATCTCCTACAAAAAATAACAGATTAAATGTGTTGAAAACATTGGACTACTTTAGCTGTCAATTGTTTTTGATCCCTGTTGCATACAGGCTGGAACAGGCACAGGCACAGTTTTGTTAATTGTACCCAAAGCAGGTTTCAGAAAGTGTGG